GAGGACAGTGGCTCACAGCTAAGCGCTTGAACAGTGGGAACAATGGCTCACAACTCAGCGGACTGAACAGCGGGTGCAGTGGCTCACAACTCAGCGGACTGAACAGCGGGTACAATGGCTTACAACTCAGCGAACTGAACAGCGGGTACAACAGCTCACAACTCAACGGACTGAACAGCGGGTACAATGGCTCACAACTCAACGGACTGAACAACGGGTACAATGGCTCACAACTCAGTGCTTCAACAGTGCGGACAATGGCTCCCAACTCAGCGCTCTAAAAACTTACAGGACGTACCTTTCCTCCTCCAAGTTCTGCTAGGACGCATATTTCCTCCACCAGTACTATCAGGACGTTCCTCTCCTCCACCAAGTCATATGTCATGCTATATGGTGGTCGCGCTCAGCAGCAGAAACTGTCTTGGCGGCAACATTTGCGACTTGTTCAATTTACTTCACCAGGCATTTGATCGCTCACCCATTAAGCATCGTCAGTATGAAATATGTGGGAATGCGTAAGCGTTGACAATAATTTTGAAGGCATCAGGTTCCAAGAAATGCCTGAGGCGATACAACGAGATTAGAAATAGCAATTAAAAAAGTATGCATGTTTACATGGTCATGGCGACGTGCTTCTCCCACCAAAAGCCTTTCGTTTACAATCCACCAAGCAATGTGACGTCTCGTTCAGGTCTGAGTTTTTCCATCTATTGATACCACAAACCACAGCTTCTCTTTCTTTTCTGCTTGGAGCCTTCAAGGATAAAGCCGTTCTTTGTCCCTTACATAGATTTTGAGCTGAACCAAGCCTGAAGTTCGACAACTGACATTATTGACGATTTCGAACGTGTCGTGACTTACTTGTTGAGAGGAGCATGGCTCGGGAGCTGGGCGCCATCTGTATGAGATGATGTGCCTGTGTGACAGGTGACTGGGCAAGTCTTTTTTTGAATGGGTTGTACAAGTGGCCATGGAAGGACTATCGATCCCTGGGGCACTCCATAGGTTACTGTTTCAGAGTCGTCAGTCGACAGGGGTGGTGGTTACATGGTCAACGCCTCTTAGCGGGATGGATGACGCTCTACGGGTTTTGCCTCCATTATGCCACTCACGCGCCTCGTCCGGCTGCACACGTGGGCTCCTCGAGAAGCCACAGCGTGCTGTTGCCTGCCAGCGGACGCTGGGCGGTGGTGGGGTGAGGACCGCTGGGCGGGTGGTGGGTGAGGACGCGTGTGACATCAGCTGTGGAGACTGTCGGGCCGCTGTCTGATCTTGAAAGCGGAAAACAACGGGCCCATTTGACGTCATGACGTCACCATTATGGTGTTGTATGTCCTCCTCAGTGGTTGGCGTGGTCTATCCGGCCTTCGCGATGACCTCCCAGCTGACGTCGCCAGGACCGTGGTCGTCAGGGCACGCGCATACCCTAGCATGTGTCAAAGCTCGTGCCGTGTCATGAGATGTCACGTCGCGTTTGAAGGAGGACGGCGCGGGCGATAAAGCTTCAGCGAAAAACTCATAAACAAGATTGGAAAGTAATAATCGCAAGCCCTGATATGATATTTAAGGGACAAATTCGGTGCGGATGGAAAGGTAATGAAACAAACAGGCTTCTTTTTTATAAAAATGGCATCATAGGGAGCCATGCGCGGTGTCAATCCTTAAACAGGCTCAGAAGCAGACACCTTAACAAACACATGCTATAAGCAAACAACACGCACCCATAAGAAGGAACAGGTCCATAGATCACTACCAGATACAGATGTTGTCCGAAGTCGGCACTGTAAATTAAAAAGAAAACGGAATGATAAGGGCTTTCGAGGCAGGCCACTGATAGCCGGACCTTGAGCCTGCTCCCTGAAAAACGGCAGTGCAAACTATGCAATTTTAATCGTGACGTGTGGGCGCAGGTTCCGTAAATGAAAAGGTTTCGACACATTTTATTTATAGACGACTAAAGAATCAAAAACTAACATAAAAGGTACCTCGACTCCGATCCGTGCTTTCGACGATTTCGCGTAGTTCGTAGAGTTTGTTCTGTTTTATGACACTATGTCCAGGTCAGTAAATTAGGTCATTCCTGCAAAAAAAACAAACCCAGAATCTTCAATGAAGTTTACAGCCCGTGCTACAAAATTCATTCAATTCGTTCGACTTCAACCCGACTTCATCACAGGTTTGGTCAAATGGTTGACTCGTCTATGTAATCTCACGAAATGAAGCTTGCCGTTGAGACATATAATTTAAGTAGCGATCAACCCAGTATCCCAAGTAACCACCGATGGAAGGAAACGCTTGCCCAAACAAACACTTACCGCTACCACTGACTGAGAAACTATTTGCTTAGCTGTCGTTCAAATTCGAATGACATGTAGTTAGCTTCAGCTTGTTTACATTGTTTTAACCCTGCCATGATAGGACTGCTATTTCCTAGGGAGGAACAGGGAAGTTTCTTTTGGTCCAGTGGCTAGCTGTCATCTGGTGGTTGAATTAATGGGTTGGTGCACAGATTGAGTACATAGTTGAGTATAATTGATTTCTAGCTCTGCCACTTAATGGAGCCAAGCACGCGTGTCCTGATGGGAAAAGGTTGGGTTATTTTACATACGTAACTCAAACCGACATGTTATCAGCCCAAACACGGCCTTAGATTTGGAGGAAGGGGAAAATATTTATTTGATGACGGGATGGTTGCGGAGAAGAGGGGGAGCAATATTGATCATCGTTCCTTCTCCAGGCCATGACTCGCACAGGCTTTACGCCTAATAACGACTCGCAAGTCTAGTGTCATACGTCTATGGCTAATCCTTGTATTTCATATAAATGCTCTGACTTATTACTTGCCGTCGATCGTAAGTTACACAACGGTATGCAGAGAAATTTCAAGACGGCACACGAAATAGACCAGCCGTATCTAGAACGGGCAAGCTTGTTGCATTCTCCTTTTTACATTCATATACTATATCATTTGGTTAACCACTATTCCGCGTGCGAAATTACTGAACATTTCTCAAACGTAATCTTTGTCGTTAAACTGTTATTCCGCGAGTGAAACACGTTTGCCGGTCGCGTTCGCATAACCTTTGCGCAGTGGGTCACAACAGCAATGGTTCCCTGATTGTTCATAATATGCAGTTGAGTTGACAAAACTACTTTATTTGTAATGGTACCTTGACGGCAATGACAAAATACTCAGTGAATTTAAAACCCAAGCGGGCTCTACCTTTCCTAGATATTTGCAACAGGATAAGGCCAGTGTCGTAAATCGGAAGGCGACGTCCATGATTACGGCTGGCATTATCTAACAGTAAATGAAATCGCATTATATGAAACCACCTTTTTGCGGCCTATACGAAAGGTGCTTGTCTCGTAATCCAGCGGCGCTGGGTCCGAGTCACAGACCGAATGCGCGTTGTTTGGCTCGACTGACATAGAAAGGGTCAGCAGGTAACTGACTAACGAGGATCAGCCCAGGCCCGGGGCGGTCGTGTCGCAGCATTGAACGGCACATAAAACTCTCTGCAATTCTGTCTGGCAACGCGCGCAGGCAAAATTATCTATCCGTTGAACTGAACGGAAGAAGTTGGGCAGTGGGCTCACGGTAAACGCAATAAGCGATGGTTATCGGGTACCCCTAAATTTAAAGCCAGCTATGCAAAGCGTTCTGAATGAATGTTTTTGATAAGCCCCTTCAATCCAGGGTTCACACATATATGTCCTTGTTGCTTTTGATGTCCTCGGTTGCAACTGAGAAGTCATTGAATGGCTTTATCCGTGTTATCTGTGGCATCTGTGGCACCTGTGAGGCAGCTGCAGAGCACTCGCTCAATCTGTGGCTCATTGTACCCCAAATGGTTTTGCTATGCATTCCTTTAAGCGGACCTGTTGAAAGAGAACCCTAATCAGACTTTTCGACAACAGCCTCTAGCTTCTGACACTTGTGAGATAGAGTTCGGTGATTTTGTTAAACACCGTGTTTAAACACAATCCAGAATTTGTGTATCATGTTGCGGTCACTGCCGGCTCTGTAAGGAGTGTTTTGGGGCATGTGGCGGAGATATGAAGCATTTTCGTAAGTCGCAATTAAAATTGACACAAAGTGCGCATTTCCATGCAAGAAATCATATCTCCCGGATGGCCCATTGAGGCGATACATGTTGACATGTAAGTTGGAGCTATGGTTAATGCTAGCCGTGTTTGCAGGATTTTGATACCACCTCTGTTGGCTGTTGCCTCTACCATTACGAAATCTACTTCTTTTTAAGTCTTAGAAAGTAGGTCATGCCATGACAATTACATTTTCACAATTTTATAGTAAATATTATTTTGACTGCATACCCTTAAACTCTGACAGTCAGGACCAAACCTGCTCGTGAGGCCATTATTTCATGTGGCTGTCACTATGATAATTATCATACTACGACAAAGCGACGCACGACATTCGGCTCAACGTGGCGAACTGTTTCACATCACACTAATAGTGAGGGCAGTTGGTAAACAAACCATCTGTCAGTTTCACGCTGTATTCCCCAGCTGCGGCAGATACACGCGAAATGACAGAGTGTATTCGTATGTGAGAGTACGTGCACACCAAGCAGCCATAGCCTTATTTGTTGTATTGTGATGCACGCTTCTGTGTACTTGCAGCTGGCCTGATATGGCCTTTGAAGCCGAAACGTCCGAAAACCACCAATCATCAGTGTCCTTGTTATGCGCATGATGACTTTGCAGATAACTGTATTGGAATTGCATCAATACATATTTACAGATTAAAATGATGTAGCAATGAACATGCTGCAGATTTCAGCAAGGTCTAAAATGGCCACACTACAGCTGACGGGCTAACCAGCGCAGCCTGCAGTCGTAGACATTGTTTGCCTCACGTTTGGAGAGCCATCGGAGCTCCTCATCGCCTTCACGGCCTGCCGGGCCTCCGGCAATGATGTCTGCCGCTGTTGTCAGAGACCATCCCGCCCAGCAAATTGTTGACAAAACTGAGGTTAGCTGACGCCAACGATTATTGATCTCATCTCCGGGTCTCCTAAGGCGTGATCATCCGGTGTAGTAGCCCCCTGAAGTGTTAATGGGATCGCCAGCTGGGCTGAGTGCAGGCGCGCCGGCCTGGTCTTCATTTCGGTGCGCTTCAGGGAATACAAGTGACCTCTCCAGCCTTCCCATGACGTGCCAATCGCGACAATGACGCCGTCTTCATTGGCCGGCGGCGTGCTTTCACGCAGATAGATACCATTCAGGTTCGCCAAGTGGCACGCATTATACCACCAGCCGCCGAAGAAGTGGTTTGCGCAGTCGATACCAGCCGATGCGTCGTTATCCCTATCCTTGGTGCTGAATTGCTGTTCGCTGGCGTACGCCATCGAGTCTCCGACGTCGCCGGTGAAGTTGCCCAGGTGCAATCGGTACTGGTCTGCCTCGCTGTCCACGATGAAGGACGCGTAGCGGGCGAATCGTCTGTCGCCGTCAAAGTCCTCCAGTTCGATTCGCAGCTCCTGTGGCTCGCCATAAGTGAGGCGGTGGAGCAGTTCGTTGCCGAGCCAGAACTGGCCGGATACGTTGCCGAAGCCGTCGCGGTAGCTCTGCCAGTCGCGGTAGAAGTCAAGCTGCTCCGTGTCGTCGCCACGCCGCTGGAACACAGTCCAGCCGCCGCCAGCCGTCTCCATGTCGCAGAACACCCACGCAGACGACATTCCCCGCATGGTCATGACGTACGGTCCGCTGGAGTTAATGCCTCGATCCAGGAGCCGGCTGCAGCCGTCGATGACGCAGCAGCCGAGCGTGGTCAGCTGCGGCGAGGCGCAGGCGCAGACACCCTGCTGGCAGGAGGCGCCCAGCTCGCCCCGCCAGCACTCGTCGGCACTCAGGCAGTGCTCGCCGAGCGCGGCGCGGCCGTTCCTGACGAAGGCGGCCAGCGCGGTAGAGGCGGCGGTGCTGCCGCCGCGGCGCGAGGCCAGCCGGCAGTGGAGCCCGCCGCCGGCCGGCACCAGCTCGGCGGCGGCGCAGCCGCGGTCCACCAGGCACAGGTGGCGACAGTGGCAGGCGGAGTCGGCTGGCCAGCTGGCATACACAGCAGCAGCCGGCGGCGACCAGTCGACGGCCGTCATATGCCAAAACTGCAACTGGTCTTGCCAGCCGACGTGTCTCCGCAGCGATGGCTTGGCGGCGGCGGCGGCGGCCCAGAGTGTCACCGGCAGCACCAGCACCGCCAGCGCCCTCTGGAACGGGTGGGGACGCCCTGGAAGTGTGAGAGGGGCCACCGTCAGAGACAGAGTCAGAGTCGCCAGCTGAATCTAGGACATGTGGATGCCTAAGGGAGCTGTCTAAATAGTAATGCGTCCGGGTAAAGCACACGGCGGAACGCTGAGTCAGTTCACCCCAGACATTTTCCACATGCCTAATTTTAAAGTTACAGAAATTCCATAGAGTAGAAACTGAGAAAGCTCTGGGCCAGCAACCTTTTCTGCCCCCCAAGAGTGCAACCTATACACATGGGCTCCCATTAGTCGGCGCCTAAAAATATCGGTGACAATATTAGACGATACTAGTGGATCATCACCAATACAGGACGGATTGAAGGCAGCATGCGACTCCCCATCAGTCCTCCTCATACTCCTACGCTTGTCGTGTGCCTCTGCTCGGTGTGTTGGTGTGATAAGCTTGTGTGTGATAGTGTGTGATATGTATGTGATATTGAAGTGACATGCTTAAGGAGATCTCGGTCTATGTTCAGCGCTTTTCCAGATTCGTTATTAAGCGATGGGTTTTTTCTCACTAGATGCAGCCGCAGTGCCAAGTATTCACAAGAGATGAAAGGATGTCGCTGGCTTAGTTGAATTACGCAAAACTGGTCTTACAACCAGTAAATAGAAGGATAAAAACGCCGAAAAGCAAGAAATGAGTGATTTCGAAGAAACCACACGCCACTTAAGACATTATCACGCCACCAAAATCTGCAAAGTTGTTTGGATGACGATACTTGGGTGTATGTAAGCTTCCTAAAAGATTATGCTGTCAGTTTCTCAAAGGTATCGATGAGATCTAGAGCTGACTGCTTAAGTTTGATGTATTGCAATGTTGTTGTTCAACGAAAAGTATGATCTCTGTAGCTTAGCAGGCGGAGCGCCAGACTCGGCATGGGCTGCCGCCTGGCGTGGCAGGCCGCTCAGACGGCATTGTTTGACTTCCAGAATCAGTGGTTACATAGCTCTTCCAGGACGGCCGATGATGGCTGGCCTTGGGAGTACCAGGCCAGGACAGCGCTGCCCTGCCGCGTCGGAGCGGGGACCGCCTTAAGAGTACCAGGTCAGGACAGTGCTGCCCTGCCGCGTCGGAGCGGGGACCGCTTGAGAGTGCCAAGCCAGGACAGTGCTGCCCTGCCGCGTCGGAGCGGGGGACCGACACATTACAGATCCCTCTGCACTGTTCGGCTTGAGACCGAGCAAAAGGTCCTCAAAACCAAATTACAACATTGGGGTGGTGGGGTGATGGTGTTTACAAGCTCTGCTTGAATCTGCTTGGTCTTAAATCCTCCACCAATCCTAGCAAAATATTTTGCCATTTTTATCCGACCCATAGGTGTTGCTGTGAAGCTGGTCTGGATGGGGGGGTATTTCACAATATGTATGCGTCATTTCGATTAGTTTGCGATGCATGCAACAAGTCCAGTTCTCATGCTGAGGTTTTCAGGTTAGGTTAAGGTCTATTTAGCAGGTGACCCACGACGAATGCAGCGAGACAACAGCAGGACAGCCAACAGTGGCTCGACTTTATGTGAACAAAAATAGCTTTGAGCTGGTTTTGTCAGCAGCGTGAGTTCAGAAGTCCTACACTCACAGTTAGCTGCCTTCATATGCCAGGAAGTACCGGTGAGCGAAGTTATTAAGCAAACAGCAGCTATATTGCCAGTACTAAAATCGTGATAAACACAGATTGGACCTCGGATACTGCCAATGCAGCGAATGTTTGCCTGATGCAGTCGTTTTCTCAGTACCTCCTGGTATCAGAGGTACACCTCATGGTCGATACTGTCAGAATAAGAGCTTTGAACTCATAAATATACTGTCTTGAGCCGGT